AAATCACGGTAACGTGATATTGTGAGTCCGTTATTGAGATTTTCTTGTGTATTTGAAGGAAGAATTTGGTAGAGAACGCCATTAGCTCCACCAGAGTGTTTGGGAGTAGTTTGTGAAACTTGGGCTGGGAATAGCTCGATGCCTCCAGCCTTCAGGTAAAAATAACCTTTAGCATGTCTAAATAACATGTCCACATTAAACATAACATGTTTATTATTAATCCAAATCCAATTATTTGTATCTTGGTCGAGGTTGATATGTAGTGCTTTCCGGTGGCTAATCTTCTATTGTTGCATTTGTGGGTTATTTCCATGTTGTTGGTCAGGCTGTGTTTGACGATGATCCGGTTGTGTGTACAAGTTATATATAACCTTTGATCGACCATTGTTGTTGTTTGTGTACTACCAGCCCCTTGGAAAGAGATGTTGTTGTCTTCCAACGTTCCATACCAGCCAACACTCAAGAGCCAGCTCCCACTCGGGTACATTTATCAGTCAAGTCGTTCATGATTGAACACTCCCATTACTTGCCAATTTGCTCATAGTCTGCGTGCTGCGCCTGCTTCATATTTTTTTAATGCTCTGTCTTTAAATTCACGTTCTGGCCTCAGACTTCTGTGGTTCTCTCTCTATGGAGCTTTACAACACAATTCAGACCACAGTCTCACCCTCTGTTGCAATGATTCGCTTGATAAAGTCCTTGTGGTTGCTTGCCTCCTCCATGGACTACCCCCTTCAAAAATGCAGTTACTTTTAACCAGTAGTGGCAACGGACAAGGACCTGCTGGTCAAAATATAAGACATTGGACCTCCACTCTGATGTCTTTTATTTCACAGTGTGTGTGTGTGTGTGTGTGTGTGTGTGTGTGTGTGTGTGTGTGTGTGTGTGTGTGTGTGTGTGTGTGTGTGTGTGTGTGTGTGTGTGTGTGTGTGTGTGTGTGTGTGTGTGTGTGTGTGTGTGTGTGTGTGTGTGTGTGTGTGTGTGTGTGTGTGTGTGTGTGTGTGTGTGTGTGTACTCACCTATTTGTACTTACCTATTTGTGCTTGCGGGGGTTGAGCTTTGGCTCTTTGGTCCCGCCTCTCAACTGTCAATCAACTGGTGTACAGATTCCTGAGCCTACTGGGCTCTATCATATCTACATTTAAAACTGTGTATGGAGTCAGCCTCCACCACATCACTGCCTAATGCATTCCATCCGTTAACTACTCTGACACTGAAAAAGTTCCCTCTAACGTCTCTGTGGCTCATGTGGGTACTCAATTTCCACCTGTGTCCCCTTGTTCGCGTCCCACCAGTGTTGAATAGTTTATCCTTGTTTACCCGGTCGATTCCTCTGAGGATTTTGTAGGTTGTGATCATGTCTCCCCTTACTCTTCTGTCTTCCAGTGTCGTAAGGTGCATTTCCCGCAGCCTTTCCTCGTAACTCATGCCTCTTAGTTCTGGGACTAGTCTAGTGGCATACCTTTGGACTTTTTCCAGCTTCGTCTTGTGCTTGACAAGGTACGGGCTCCAGACTGGGGCCGCATACTCCAGGATTGGTCTTACATATGTGGTGTACAAGATTCTGAATGATTCCTTACACAGGTTCCTGAACGCTGTTCTGATGTTAGCCAGCCTCGCATATGCCGCAGACGTTATTCTTTTTATGTGGGCTTCAGGAGACAGGTTTGGTGTGATATGAACTCCTAGATCTTTCTCTCTGTTCGTTTCATTAAGCACTTCATCTCCTATTCTGTATCCTGTGTTTGGCCTCCTATTTCCACCACCTAGTTTCATTACTTTGCATTTACTCGGGTTGAACTTCAACAGCCATTTGTTGGACCATTCACTCAGTCTGTCTAGGTCATCTTGTAGCCTCCTACTATCGTCCTCAGTTTCAATCCTCCTCATAATTTTTGCATCATCGGCAAACATTGAGAGAAACGATTCTATACCCTCTGGAAGGTCATTTACATATATCAGAAACAGTATAGGTCCAAGGACTGACTCCTGCGGGACTCCACTTGTAACGTCTCGCCAATCTGAGACCTCACCCCTCACACTGACTCGTTGTCTCCTGTTACTTAGGTACTCCTGTATCCAACGGAGTACCTTCCCTTTCACTCCAGCCTGCATCTCCAGTTTTTTCACTAGCCTCTTGTGTGGCACTGTGTCAAAGGCTTTCTGACAATCCAAAAATATGCAGTGTGTGTGTGTGTGTGTGTGTGTGTGTGTGTGTGTGTGTGTGTGTGTGTGTGTGTGTGTGTGTGTGTGTGTGTGTGTGTGTGTGTGTGTGTGTGTGTGTGTGTGTGTGTGTGTGTGTGTGTGTGTGTGTGTGTGTACGCACCTCCACAAGTGTTTCGTGAACACACAATATATAACACATAAATATTGGTCTCGTCGCCTGTCTCGGTACACACAGTTGGTGTTACGAAGCTCTTACTCTCTGGTACACCTAATCAAATGTTCGTGTTTGTGTTGATCTGGCGGTTGTATATCGCTGTTTTTGTTTCGGTGTGTGTAAACACGTAATTGTACTCACCTAACTGTACCCGCAGGATCGAGCACCTACTCTTGGAACCCACTCTTTCAATCGTCGGTCACTTAATGAAATGGTGTGTGTGTGTGTGTGTGTGTGTGTGTGTGTGTGTGTGTGTGTGTACTCACCTAGTTGTACTCACCTAGTTGTGTTTGCGGGGGTTGAGCTCTGGCTCTTTGGTCCCGCCTCTCAACCGTCAATCAACAGGTGTACAGATTCCTGAGCCTATTGGGCTCTATCATATCTATACTTGAAACTGTGTATGGAGTCAGCCTCCACCACATCACTTCCTAATGCATTCCATTTGTCAACCACTCTGACACTAAAAAAGGTCTTTCTAATAACTCTGTGGCTCATTTGGGCACTCAGTTTCCACCTGTGTGTGTGTGTGTGTGTGTGTGTGTGTGTGTGTGTGTGTGTGTGTGTGTGTGTGTGTGTGTGTGTGTGTGTGTGTGTGTGTGTGTGTGTGTGTGTGTGTGTGTGTACTCACCCAGTTGTGCTTGAGGGGGTTGAGCTTTGGCTCTTTGGTCCCGCCTCTCAATTGTCAAATTAACTGTGCGTGTGTGTATGTACTTAGGTTTATTCAGGTAAGTGTACTTGAAGAGCTCGGCACTTGGCTCCGCCTTCTAAACGTTCGTTTATTATAATATTTACATTAACTTTTGTATTGAGTTAGCTTTAGCGACTAACGTCTAACTTATTTCACTTACTGACTTCTCTAACTCTAAAAGATTTGTCTGACTCTATGGGACTGATTTAAGCCTTCAGTTTCTCTATGCCCTCTCGTTTGCATATCTAATCTTCTCTATGTGTTTAATTAAGTTTATCCCTATCATTCTTTCGAGTACCTTGCAGTGGAGGCTCGATAGTGATAATGGTCTTTAGTTAAGGGCTTATTCCCTATTCCCCTGACTACTCCCAAGCACACACCTTTTACCACTGGACCATGATATGCAATAAGTCATGTAACCTAGGATACAATTGAATCCGCTCGCGGGTTTCACACACTCATCTCGTGCACTCTGGTGTGGGAAAGAAGTTGACCAAATCACACACTAGAAAGTGAGGGGACGACGACGTTTCGATCCGTCCTGGACCATTCTCAAGTCGATTGTGAGAATGGTCTTTGGATATATGTACACAATCGACTTGAGAATGGTCCAGGACGGATCGAAACGTCGTCGTCCCTTCACTTTCTAGTGTGTGGTCTGGTCAACATATTTCAGCCACGTTATTGTGACTCCTCGTCTGCCGGGAAAGGAGTTCCACTACCAACGCTCACTTGAAATGCATAATGAAATCAAATTAACGTGATGTATTAATGAGAAAATCAGTTGGAACCATGAGGAGGATTCGAACCCTTTCATGGTTAGTGATACACATATACAAACAGGTTTTTGCCAGTGTTAAACACTCACTTATATTGCAGAGATGGCCGTCAAGAAAACACGCTTTACTTCCAAGTTCATTTGAACACTGGCTTTATCAGTTAGGTTAACTCTCACAGGTTGTTCACTTATGTTAACTCTCACAGGTTGTTCACTTATGTTAACTCCCGAAGGTTGGTCAGGTTAATTCCTTCCGATTTGCCAGTTAGGTTAACTCCTTCAGGTTAGTCCGCCTCACCCGTGCTCTTCCTTACGGGCCGTCTCCGTCTACTAATATTTCCTCCTCTGGCACTCTAACCTTTCCTTCTTTACTCTGTTGATCCTGCCTTCATTCTATCCGGGACGATTCTCCCACACCATGACACCAAGTACCAGCCTATCCCACACTGCCACACCCCGCCCCACACCCTGCCACACCCCGCCCCACACCCCGCCCCACACCCTGCCACACCCCGCCCCACACCCTGCCACACCCCGCCCCACACCCTGCCACACCCCGTCCCACAGCCTCACACTCTACCACACCCCGCCCCTTTCGACCTGAGACTGATTTGATTGTTGCCGGCAGAGGCTTTCTAGTTTATTGTTCACCCCATACTCAACCTGTGAGCGGTAGCGCAAAAAGAATTACAGAAAGCACACAGACCTCAACGGAGATTATTACATTAACACTTTCATATATCCTTCACAAAATATAATTATACGAGGGTGTACAGAGTCAGGTGGTCGGATACAACTAGTTATCGTAGGAGTGAGTGTGAGTGACCTTGTTGGGTCTCCCTTATCTATGGAACACACGTGACCTTCTTGCTATGAGTAGAGGAAATTGCTTGTTGACAAACATTATGAGTGAGACATGAACAATAAGAAGGTAATGAGAGCTAAACAACACACACACCAGAAGATGAGGAGACGACGACGTTTCGGTCCGTCCTAGATCATTATCAAGTTCGACTTGATAATGGTCCAGGACGGACCGAAACGTCGTCGTCTCCTCATCTTCTGGTGAGTCGTTTCGTCATCATATCTTGAAGTCACACGTTATTGTGACTCGTCGTCTGCATTAAGAAGGTAATAACAATACTCTTGCCGTGTTTGCAGTAAAAATCATAAATATATTCACGTAATGTACAAAACATCTTTTTATAAAACGTTTAATTACAAAAAGTGTCTTCAACGTTGGCCATAATCCACTCGAGGTATGATGTGACGCGGGTGTAAACACCAGGGGAGCCGGGGAGACCACAGCCGAAGCCGAAGGACGTGACGCCGACCAGGACGTGGCGATTACCCTGCATCACCGTCAGAGGTCCCCCGGAGTCTCCTAGACACGAGTCCTTCCCTCCTTCTTCCTCGCCAGCACACACCATATGCGGCGATATTTTTATACTGCCAATCTTCTTTCCCTTACATTCCTTATCCAATATGGTGAGAGCCACTTCTCGCACGACGTCCGGCTGCCGCTCTTCGGCAATGTAAGTGACGCCCCAGCCGTACGCCATCCCCGTGACGCCCTCGTACAGGTTACTGGGGTCGGTGGGCAGGCAGGCGGCCTTTACCTGAAGATGAGAGGTCAGATCCAGGGCTTGGGCGAGTCGGACCAGCCCTATGTCGTAGTAAATCTCGAAGAAAGAGTAATCCTCGTGTATAATTATTTTGTCCACGTCTACCAAGGAAGTGACTGTAGGTATGTCATCCTCCTTGGAGGCTTGGTTATGGTCGCCCACGCCCACCCTCAAGTGCTTGGGCTTGAGCACTCTCCCGTTGCTCTGATCATAGAGGCAGTGCGCGGCAGTGAGGATGTAGCGAGAGGTGATGATGCTCCCGCCGCAGTAGTAGGTGTCCCCGCCCTTACGGGTCTTGAGGCCCACCAGCCATGGGTACTTGTGGGGCACCGTCACCTCCATGCCCCCGACGATGCGCTCACCGTTGGATATTCCACACGAACACTTGCCTGGAAAAAAAAATATGCTGAATAATGTCATCCTGGTCTTCATTACAATGGTTTATGTTTTAACTGACAAGGTTTATTATCTCTCCTTCCTCGGAGTAAACCAAAAGCTACTCGGAACCAAAAGATGCAAGTAGCACCGGCTATGGTGACCCCGTAGTGGACTTACCTGGCACAGGAGCGGGGCTGTAACTTTTAAACCGTAATTAACTTAATAAATTTATAAAATAAAACAGACAGCACCTGGTTTCCATGGTCCAGGCAGCTTTAAGAAAGTCCATTTCACTAACCTATGTAACCATAGATTAGTGAAGCGGCTCAAGCAAGCACAGCTATAAAGAGATGCGATGGATCTTGGATGTAAAGGAAGAGAGGAGACCATACAAAACAAAAAATATATATTTCTGAGGTGCTAAAATTTGTCTTTGTTTGCACTGCCGTGTCTTCACTTGTAATATATGTTCACCAGTCGTGTAATGCATTCACCTGCATTGTAAAGTATTCGTGTGCATTGTAACGCTTGAAATATATAGTGATGCCAATTATTATGTACGACTGCGAGACGACGGTGAGGTATGAAAACGACTCACGGCAGGGCAGTTGCACAATCTGTGACGCATGTGTGGAGTGGGAGGAGAAGAACAGAGAGGAGAAGAACAGAAGAACAGTTTGGAGAGTGATCATGTGTACTCTTGAGCTCACGAGGTGCGCTCGATTAACAATGTGTAGAGAGGAGCTCACATGAGTGATCGGTACAACTTACTAGGCACACAGCAGAAGCACTTGTTCCTTTTGCAGGCTTCCTGGAGTATGGTGCCGTGGCGGCAGGCGGTCCACCGGCCCTTGAAGCAGAAGCCTCCTTGAAGCTTGCAGGTCGGCGTCGTCTCACACGATCTGTGGTCTGAAGCGGCGAGCATTAGTATACACTTTTCCTCTGCCTCTGACGGTTCATCCTGCTTCAGACACCTTTCATTGTCCTCATACCACTCTTCATTCATTCCTCTCACCATTCTCCATTCATTGCCTTCATGCAACTCTACCATCATACTAGTCTCTAATCATTATCTGAATACCACTCTTCTTTCATGAAGTATAATGCCTCCGCCATCTCATTGCCTTTAAATTTCGTTTTCTATCAGCTCGGACTAACATAACCCGACCACATCAGAATTTCCATCTTAATAACATGCTTCTAATCCAGGTTCCTGTGTTCCCCACTCGTATGTTTGACATTCAGAGCAGGCAAATGAGTCTGCCTCCGCGTCCCAAAACCTGACCAGAGTATCGGGTACCACTGAAGAGAGACGGAGAGTAAGGGCTGATCATTCACCCTGACCTAGTACCGGCCACGGGATGGGAATGGGGTGCATAATAAATAAATTAAATGAATGACTTCTTGGAATACGCAGAATGTAATTCTATAAGAATGTTATTCCATTAGAATTACAATACACAGATATGTAAGTAATAGGTCAAACATATCTAGGATGAGTCAGTAATATTGTCCACCGACATTTACGAAAGAAAAAACGGGTCTTAAAGAATTGGACTTTGTTAAAACGCGGAAAACTAAGGAACCAAACCGTAGGAACGGAGAAATGTGTGGGCCACACACGCACACAGTTTTAGAGAAAGTGTGTACATATTTCTTCAAGTAATATCCTGTAATTACAAGAGTGAAGTGGCGCGGAAGGTGGCCGGTGGGGGAGGGGAAGGCACTCACCGCCCAGGCAGCAGGAGCAAAAGCCTTTACAGAGGGTCTTCTCCCGCCAGGTGTTGCACGGGGTCCGGGTCGTCCCGCACTCACCACCAACCCTCGAGCACTTGTTCCTCGTCCGGCACACTTCTCGCAGTTGATCCTTGGACACAGTCGCTCCCACAAGTTTATCTGGTGGGGTCAGACACGTACAGTGAGACATATAATTAAGCAAGGAGCATGTTCACCGGTTGGTGATAATTAGGACAAATTCTCTACACATACACTTCAACATTTCTTTGTTATTATCCCCTCTGTCGTATGAAAAGAGTTAGGTTAGCTTAAATTTGGTGACGTCGCATTCTTTAGGGGGCCTAAATAATGTGTTCTGATGTAGTTTGTGCTGGAATCGTACATCCTTTGATGGGTACGTATCATCTAATCATTTATGCAACCAATATTACCGCCATGAGATTATATTATTAGAGGAAAACCCTAATTTTTCTTCAGCTAAAAACGTCGGGCTACACACCATAGAACACACCATAGATTCTGGTCTTCTATCCTGGACAAACAAACAGACTAACTCTTGTAATTCTTATGTTTTAATGGTGGCTGGTGCAGTGTGTGTGTGGTGGATATTCCCTACTTGGCTCTTGAGGATGGTAGAATGTACCTGAATGTGCACAGACAGCTCGCATTCAGGTACATCAAACAATCTCAACTGTTGTTTGAGATTGTTTGATGTGTAATGTTTTGCCAATGACTAACCTTCTATTGTTGTTGTGTCTATCAACTATTTCGGAGTTGGTGATCAGGATACTATAGCTCGTGTGATGATCTGGTTCTGTGTAGAGATTATGTATTTCCTGGTGGACCCTAAATGTTTGTGCATTGTCAGGCACTTTGAAAGATATGTTGTTGTCTTGCCTATATATTGAGATCGTTGGGGCTGACACACCCCAAGTGAGTACGTGAAGGCTAAGATGACATTTATCACTCTCAAGACGTTTAGGCTGGAGTCGGAAGAGTTCTTCATGAGCAAGTTGGCAGTTGTCTTGCTCTTATAATAGACTGTTCAAGTTCAAGTATGTTTATAGAGATAAGAAAGAAATACATCTCAAAGGGATAGAGTAGCTTAGGCTATTTCTACCCCCATAATAGACTGTCAACTCTATCTTCTGCTTGGTATCGGAAGGGGGGGGGGGGAGGGTCCCGTGTCTATCAGTAATGTCTCTCATGACTTTTGTTTTTAATTGCTTTGTGAGCTGTGAAATCGTTTAACAGGTGGAACAGTTGCCGAAGTGTTGGCCATTTCATCAGAAGTATTATGGCGGCTCACCTTCGTGTTAATGAAACTTTTGACGTATACGTTAAAGTGTTATGGTACTGTGTACCCCAGAAGGGGGAGGGTGAGCCCTGGTAATGCAGGTTCGAACCCTGGTGGTGTAAAAGAGTTCTTAAGTAATTTGGGGCTTGGGGGACCACTCAAGCTTCCATATATACATCAATATATATATATCTAAAAAAATCTTATCTGGCTCACCTGGGAGTACATGTGGAAACTTGAGGATCAACAGACGCTCGTCGCCTGGTTTTGTGGGACGTGACTCGCCTGTGGAGCATCAGCTGAGATTCAACTGAGATAACTTACCTGAAAGAGCCAACCGCAGACGTGACTTACCAGAAAGAACAGGAGACCATACTTATAACTTGGTCACTCCCTGAGAATGAGACGCCACTCAGCTAAGGAGCAGCAGTAGTAACTCATCCTTGGGAGGACGGGGGATTAAGGGGCCTCTTAAGCAACTCACCTGGGGTAGCAGACACGTTAACTCACCTGGCGAGGCGCAGCAGACGTGAGGCGGGGCGCAGAGGGAGGGCAAGGTGCGAGCCCAACACAGGTCCCGCTCAACACAAACGCCGCCCAGCGCAACACACAGCCCACCCTGACAAACATCTCCACTCTCAGTACATTACTTGAAACCAGAGAACATGTAAATCACACCAAACATTAGTACCAAAAATACTAAGGATACTTAATATTTAATAAAAAATAATATTATGGACTTAATAAACAATATTTAGGACACTTAAACGCATGCGCAAGTGTTGTCTGCTGGGCACCCGGCGCACGCATGCGCAGGTGTTGTCTGCTGGGCACCCGAGGCACGCATGCGCGGGTGTTGTCTACTGGGCACCCGACGCACGCATGCGCAGGTGTTGTCTGAAATATATTATGGGACAATAATGGAAAACAAGCTTCATATCTAAGCTCATCCTCTTCAGCAAAATTTCTCAGTTATCGACACTTCCGTATTACCTGAGACGATCAATTTGTTAGCGAACACTAATGAACATTTATCGATATTTCTGACAGTGGCAATTTCGGACTGGTTCCCGAAATTGTCGAAACTGACTCCACGTGTCCGTCTGGCCACATGGAGTCCGCGACACCACGCTTGCTCCAATCTTCACTAGATAGCACCACATTTCAAGGATATTATGTTTCAGATATTTCCAGATGTGATTCATGAATGTAATTTTTAAAGTGTTGGATGACGATCAAAGAAAACGGGGAACTAGGTTTCTATCTCTGTATGATATCTTTGTTGACCTTATTAAGAGATCGTGAGGATTTCCAGGTCGTGAAAAACAGTGAAGCCAAGTCCTTAAATTTGATATCTTGCTTATATTTTGGATCAATTAAATGCATTAATAAGGAACTGCAAGGTGAACAGAAAACTCGTATGGATTATAAAACCGGGCTATTCATGCTCGTGCCACCTCTTGGGTGGCTTAATTTCGTCAATCTATATAATTCTCATATTGGCTACAATGCCAATACTTCTCATACAGTACTTGGTTTGTAGAGTAGTGGAAGAGGTGCGGTGGGATGAAAATGGATCAGTTGTCGGTCAAGCGATACGGCCGTCTCTCTCCCAGAATGCCTCGGGTGAACCCTTCCTCCCACGTCCGGGTGAACCCCCAACCCCTCCCCCACATGCCCGGGTGAACCCCATCATCCCCCACATGCCTGGGTGAACCCCATCATCCCCCACATGCCCGGGTGAACCCCACCCCTCCGCCCGCATGCCCTGGTGAATAGTCACGATCTTGCTCTTGAGAAAGCGTCGTTGATCGGTTTTTCCTTCATATGTTCGTGATCTGTGTTCTCTTACTCGTAAGGTCATATATTTATTTTATTTGTTTATATAAAAAATATATACAAGAGTTCTTACATTCTTGTACAGCCACTAGCACGCATAGCGTTTCGGACAAGTCCTTAATCCTAATTTTTCCCTGGAATACGATTCACCAAATCGTTTAACATCCAGGTACCCATTTACTGCTGGGTGAACAGAGGTTACATTTTAGGATTGGTGCCCAATCAATCTTCCCCGGCCAGGATACGAACCCAGGCCAAAGCGCTCGCCAAGCGCCTGTCATCGTAGTCGGGCTACGAAGTAATCGTACACGGGATGTAATTTATCGTGTGTTCTGGCTAGATTAGTTGTTCACTCGTGCAAGCTAGAGAAAAGGTGAATTAATACATTTATTTGAACACTTGGGAGGGCATGACAAATGTTCGTCTAACATAAAGTAAGTGAGTATGTACAGGTGTATATGAATAGTGCCTGATAGCACCTGTAGACCATGAAAATAGAAAATAAAAACAATTATTTAAATATTTCACTCTATACACACATGGCTCTGTCGTATCTATAATGTACTTTCATGTTCAAGTTATATCATGTACTATCATGTTCAAGCTATAGTTTTAAGCTAAAAAGACTATATATAACAATATTTTCACTATACTATTACTACAACTGCTGCTACTAGTAGGAGCAATATATCATCTCTCACAATAATACGAAATAATATTTTAAACAATGAGTCTCTAAGGCTCTGAGCCATTAGACTGCCAACGGTTGTTACTATAAAAAGTACAGAATATCTATCATAATAAAACAAACCCAGCGACGAGGCTCATCTATGAGCCAAGCAACACTGAGCACATCTGTTGGATTACATAACATGAGCGCCTGCGGCACAGTGGCTCGTGTAGTCACTATTAAACCGGGATTCCATACTCCTGATGCCGCTGTTCACCAAGCAGTGAATGAGGACCTGAGAGGCAGGAAACTGTATGTGGTTTGCCTTCTCGGGAAGATCAGTCGGAGAACTTCGACAATTCTTACATGCCTCTAGACGGTCTAGAGAATGCGACACAGCTGCAAAATATGTAAGAATCCCAGTGGATTTGAGACAATGAGAGGTCAAATATTTCAAGCTGCAACACTGGATTTGATTTTGATTGTTGTCGGCAGAGGCGGCTAGTTTACTGTGCACCCCATTCTCATCCTGTGAGTGGTAGCATAACAAAGGATTAGAGAGAGCACAAAAGGTCTTTATCAGACCTCAACTGAGATTATTACATTAATAATTTCATCTATCCTTCACATCTTATAATTGTAATGTCAGCTAGTTACAGAGAATGTTCTGTTCAATAGCTATATATTTACAGTTAATCATTATACAGTAATGGTAGGTTTATTTGTTAATACATAATTGTTTGAGCTATGGAGATACTAAAGTCATAGGGGAGCTGCTGTTTATTATTAGTCTTCACAATACACTACTTGTTTCTTAATCTCATATGTCGTATCTACTGGAAGCGGAATATGGATACAGTACAAGGGATACAGATTTCAGGGATTACAGATTTCAGGGATTTCAGATTTCAGGGATTTCAGATTTCAGATTTTCAGGATTTCTAAGAGATTTCTAAGAGATTTTCAGAGATTTCAGATTTCAGGGATTTCAGGGATACAGATTTCAGGGATTTTATCCTTAGTAATAAATTTGACATTTCATACAGCGTGAGTTTAGATTGATTTTTAAATGACTCAATTTTAATTTTAAATTCTACATTTAAAACTGAGTATGGAATCTGCCTCCTATAACATCTCTGCCCAGTGAATTCCATTTGTTATCTACCCTGTTCTAATGACTTTATATCCGTTCTATACTATGGCGACCAAAACTGAACAGCATAATGGTATGCAGGCGAGGAGTCACAATAACGTGGCTGAAGTATGTTGACCAGACCACACACTAGAAGGTGAAGGGACGACGACGTTTCGGTCCGTTCTGGACCATTCTCAAGTCGATTGTGAGAATGGTCCAGGACGGACCGAAACGTCGTCGTCCCTTCATCTTCTAGTATATGGTCTGGTCAACAGCATAATGGTATGCTTTTCCAGCAGAACTAAAGGCCCAAGGTAATGCCTAATAATGATTAGGAGAGTGATGAGTTACCTGGTAGTTGGCAAGGGATGGAGAGGCGAGCCCCGACAGCAGAAGCAGGAGGAGCGGTGTCATGCCCCACGCCGCCAAGAAGGTCTTGTCCTAATTTCCGCTCCAGTTACCTCCGGGCTCAGCTGGCCACAGTACCGCGGGCCCCACACAGCCGGCCAACCCACGCTTTTGACATTAAACAGACCCAATAAACTGACGCGGTGATTATTCTAGGGTGAAACATTAATGGAATAGTCAGCGTCGTCATATTCCGCAAGGGGTATCACTAGTTTGTTACTTATAATTTCTCCTTATATAACAAGTTTTTTTTTAAGAAAACCTATGATGTGGGGTGGCTGAGGATGTTATAGGGGGAGACGGAAGAAGTTTTCACCCACCGCCCGTGAAGGCTGACCGCACACTGCCTTGGCAGGTCCCACACAACCCTCTCCAGACTTGCTGCGTCAAGCTTGCTGGAGCAACCATGGAATAGACGATCAAATTGTCTTTGTCTTCCATGTGTACTTAAAACACAAATGTGAGTGTGTTGCCGGGTGTAAGGACGAATGTGTATAATAAAATTGGTTTGTATTATTATACAATATGTTTCATTAATCATTATGCTTGTCTTAATATATTTTTTCATGGTATTAACGATTGTATAAAAAATTAGCAATCAATGGTTTTTATCGCATCTATTATATCAATGGTTTATCAGAAACCAAAACACTTTTTATGTAACGCGTGTTTATTATATTTAATAATATAATCATACTGGAAATAGTCATTGTAATCAAATCCTAAATCATCTCCAAATAACACTTTAACACTAAGAATATAGATCGACTGGGATATCGATGCTATAAATGTTTCTTTTCGTTTTTTTCGAATCAAACCACAGTGTGAGGCAGTCTTTGATGGTGGCTCTTCTTGATGGTGTGGAGGCCCTGGTGTGGAGGCCCTGGTGTGGAGGCCCTGGTGTGGAGGCCCTGGTGTGGAGGCCCTGGTGTGGAGGTCCTGGTGTGGAGGTCCTGGTGTAGAGGTCCTGGTGTGGAGGTCCTGGTGTGGAGGTCCTGGTGTGGAGGCCCTGGTGTGGAGGTCCTGGTGTGGAGGTCCTGGTGTAGAGGTCCTGGTGTAGAGGTCCTGGTGTGGAGGCCCTGGTGTAGAGGTCCTGGTGTGGAGGTCCTGGTGTGGAGGTCCTGGTGTGGAGGCCCTGGTGTAGAGGTCCTGGTGTAGAGGCCCTGGTGTGGAGGCCCTGGTGTGGAGGCCCTGGTGTGGAGGTCCTGGTGTGGAGGTCCTGGTGTGGAGGTCCTGGTGTGGAGGCCCTGGTGTGGAGGCCCTGGTGTGGAGGCCCTGGTGTGGAGGCCCTGGTGTGGAGGCCCTGGTGTGGAGGTCCTGGTGTGGAGGTCCTGGTGTGGAGGTCCTGGTGTGGAGGCCCTGGTGTGGAGGTCCTGGTGTGGAGGCCCTGGTGTGGAGGCCCTGGTGTGGAGGTCCTGGTGTGGAGGTCCTGGTGTGGAGGTCCTGGTGTGGAGGTCCTGGTGTGGAGGCCCTGGTGTGGAGGTCCTGGTGTGGAGGCCCTGGTGTGGAGGACCTGGTGTGGAGGTCCTGGTGTGGAGGCCCTGGTGTGGAGGCCCTGGTGTGGAGGCCCTGGTGTGGAGGCCCTGGTGTGGAGGTCCTGGTGTGGAGGCCCTGGTGTGGAGGCCCTGGTGTGGAGGCCCTGGTGTGGAGGCCCTGGTGTGGAGGCCCACTATGGTACACACTCATCACTTTCAAATTACGTCTAAACATATCAAGCGATCCAACGTCTACTACGTTACCCGGTAATTAGTTCCAAAATCTACCATCCCCATTTTCAAATCATTATTTACGCAGGCATTACGTGAATCTAAAGTCATCCAATTTAAATGCATTGTTTCTTGTTCTATTTAGTGTTGACATATTTAAAGCCTTAGGTATGTAATTCCTGTTGTCGGGGACAGTAAATTTGTGCTTAAGGCATCTGGAAGTCACCCTAGGCACGCCTAGCGCCCCCTAGGCACGCCTCACGCTATATATATATACATATATATATACATATATATATATATATATATATATATATATATATATATATATATATATATATATATATATATATATATATATATATATATATATATATGTATATGTCGTACCTAGTAGCCAGAACGCACTTCTCAGCCTACTATGCAAGGCCCGATTTGCCTAATAAGCCAAGTTTTACTGAATTAATGTTTTTTCGACTACCTAACCTACCTAACCTAACCTAACCTAACTTTTTCTGCTACCTAACCTAACGTAACCTATAAAGATAGGTTAGGTTAGGTTAGGTAGGGTTGGTTAGGTTCGGTCACATATCTACGTTAATTTTAACTCCAATAAAAAAAAATTGACCTCATACATAATGAAATGGGTAGCTTTATCTTTTCATAAGAAAAAAATTAGAGAAAATATATTAATTCAGTAAAACTTGGCTTATTAGGCAAATTGGGCCTTGCATAGTAGGCTGAGAAGTGCGTTCTGGCTACTAGGTACGACATATATATATATATATATATATATATATATATATATATATATATATATATATATATATATATATATATATATATATATATATATATATATATATATATATATATATATATATATATATATATATATATATATATATATATATATATATATATATATATATATATATATATATATATATATATATATATATATATATATATATATATATATATATATATATATATATATATATATATATATATATATATATATATATATATATATATATATATATATATATATATATATTGGAGAAGCCGTTGTTGACTAGGACCTGCCTTACCCTACAGAGTGGAAGAACTCTGTAGGGTAAGGCAGGTATATATATATATATATATAAATATATATATATATATATATATATATATATATATATATATATATATATATATATATATATATATATATATATATATATATATATATATATATATATATATATATATATATATATATATATACCTGCCTTACCCTACAGAGTTCTTCCACTCTGTAGGGTAAGGCAACAACGGCTTCTCCAATGGTTTCGTCGAAGACATCATAAGAAGGAAAGTGAAAAGCCATGCAACCTCTGAAGAGACAACTAACACAACACCTATACCCCCTATTAGACTATTTTACAGGAACTTCTTTTCCACAGCTCATAAAACGGAGGAAAGGGTCCTGAAAGATATTGTTAATAGAAACGTTATCCCTACAGACAAAAATCAGAGGATACAACTGACGATTTACTATAAAACCAGAAAAACGGCCAGCCTACTCATGAGAAACTCTCCAGACACAAAACAGAACGCTTTAAAAGAGACTAACGTCGTCTATGCCTTCAAATGCCCTCTTGGGGACTGTAAGCTCCAAAAAACCCAGTATATAGGCAAGACAACAACATCTCTTTCTAGGCGTTTAACGATGCATAAGCAACAGGGCTCCATTAAGGAACATATAATCTCTTCCCACAACCAAACCATCGCCAGAGAAATCCTAGTAAACAACACAGAAATCATCGATAGATACAGCGATAGCAGGCGGCTTGACGTTTGCGAGGCACTACACATCAAGAAGTCAACACCAGCAATCAACAGCCAATTAATCCACAACTATATTCTACCCACCTCAAGACTCCGCTCCAATATAGAAGCATCAAGAAATATGGACCAATAGGCTTTCTACATACACTTCTATTCAATACCCATTGTTTCGTGTTCTGTCTTGTGTTGACGAAATTAATACCCTATTAATGCCACCTCTTGTTCTGTCTTGTGTTGATGAAATTAATACCCTATTAATGCCACCTCACCCCATTCACCTCACTAAAATGTAGATATAAAATCGGAGATGCGTAAGTTCTATTCAGTTGTGTATTTGTAAACTAAAGTCTTTGAAAATGTAATAAGTTTTACGAAACGCGCTCGTGTCGCGTCAGACTAGAAATAAAAATGAATTTTGGAGAATTGATTTTTGATTTACCTCCAACAGTGAAAAGAAATGTACGAAAGATTGAGAAAATTCGTGTTAGAATTATTAATCTTACTTTTTCGGTCATATATTTTTCGGTCATATTATATGTTTCTGTAGACATATATTTAATAATTTATGTCTACAGAAAAGACTGCTACCAAAATATACTAATATATATATATATATATATATATATATATATATATATATATATATATATATATATATATATATATATATATATATATATATATATATATATATGTATGTATACCAGGTTATCACAGGTACTCTTCATAAAAGAACAAAATGAGCTACGCGAACTTTCAAAGGGATTTTGAAAACATGCAGCACTTTAGGACATTTTGACCATCATAAACAAATTAAAGACACACTAGCAGGAGTTAGACATGTTAAAAGCCACGGGGCCAGAGAGGATTTCAAAATGGATCTTGTAGATTAATCTTACAGGTAGGGAGCTGCAGCTCTGTGCTTACCGCTTACGAAGGTGTACAACATATGACTGGATGAACTACAGCACTCATAAGACTACCATTGTAGTGCTCTTTGATGGAAAATAAAGGCTCAAAAGTTCCTTATCATCCGACCAGCATAACTTATATACCAGACGATGGAACAACTAATAAAAAAAGAGAGAAACAGAACACCTGGAGGAAAGAATCGAACATGACACAGCAAGGTTCAGGCATTGTAAATCTTGCCTAATAAGTCCAGATGAAATTAATTTTTCATAGACAAATCTAACAAGACAGAGAAGGAGTATCGCTTCCCAATCATCAGGTTCCCCAATCAGGTTCACATACTTTACACACATCATCCCTCCAATGTTTTTGTTAGTAAGTCCGTCTTGAACCCGAGCAACCTTGCAAGAAAACGCCAGTCATGTGTTTTTTCCTCAATAAGGAACCCCTCACGCTCTGGCCGAGTGGGTCAAGCGTCTCGGATAGTTGGTCTGCTGCCGCTAACTGTTGCAAGACCCGGATACGTGGTAGGAAGCGCCTAGCTACTGTGTAATGATGCGTTGATGATCTATGCTAATGATGCATAAAGAAGTCGACGGTCAGCAATAAAATGATTTATCATAAATTGCCAGAAGATTGTCCGGGTTTATAAATTAATGTGAGGGTTAGATGCTACTGTTTATCTAGTTATATCTTGTATTTATATACAGAGAGCGAGATTCAGTTCTAGGTCCCCGCCTCTAAGCTATCGTAAGAAGTATATTTATTCTTCCCGAATTTTTTAGTACTCCACACACTGGTTATGCCTATTCTCGAAGGTGTAAATGGTGGTACAGATAGATTTAGGTAATTGGGTCTATCAGTATAGCCAGTTTCTCTTATTTTCTACATTTTCTTCTGCTTCACCCGGTGTATACCCTAACCTAGCACTACTTGATCTCCGAGTTGCTGCTCCTCCCACTCCCACGGGCTCACCATAGCCCGTGCTACTGGAACTTCTTGTTCTGAGTAGCTGAATCTAAATCAACAACAACATGCTCCTCCCACGAGGTGAATTCCAGGAATGTGTTGGAGGTTTTGTGTCGTTTTTGCTATGAAGACGACGATATTTGGCGGCATTAAGTTGGTGTTCTGATATCTGGGGCACAGTGAGGTTATTGGTGCATGCAAGCTCTTGCTGCCACCACAGAACTCTGTTACTACCAAGTTGACGTTAGAACTAGGACGAAAATGATAGATGTCATTATGATGTCATTGTAAAGATGATGTCTTTATGATGATATGTTGTCTGGAAGATGATGGTGGAATTATGTAAACAATGTTGGTATTAGGAATATAGTTCACATTATGGTTTATCATACTCGGGAACAGGAAGCCTGTTAGGCTTTGGGCACTTATTCACTGCTAGATTTGCAAAAGTATTAAGTGATAGGAGACATGCCCAACCGTCTCTGAACTTCCAGGACACCTACGCAGTGACCTTTGGTTGTGAGTTAAAGACGTAGTCCACTCCGCTACATACACTCCCTTCAAACACACAAGGAAATAAACCTGACGGGATACATGTATTGGAATTAGAAAGGAGTGTAATTGTGTTCTCTTGTTACCAGCACCAGGGCGCACGCGCGGGCTATTTGTACCGCCTTGCTGGGCCCTAGTTCGGTGCCTTCGGACTTTCTACTGGACTTAGCAGGGTCCCAGACTTAATTTAGACTTTAGGGTGTCTTGGCGCGCGTTTCGTGTTAACTAGGAGTCTGGTTTGTTCTCCGTTCTGCTCCAGTGATTTGTCTCATTGATATCTCACGAAAGTGCGATTTCTTTATATTATATATATATAATATATATTATATATGTGTAATATATTATATTTATTTTTTTATTCCCCGCTAGTTAGGTGAAGATCTGGCCCCTTGTAGCACTCCACTAGTTACTTCTAGTTATGTTGTGCACGGTGGCACTGCACTAGTTAGCCTCATACGTTGTTTGCTTCTAGGTAAACAAATATCATCGCAATGCGCATTCGTCTAAACAACTAAACAACACACTTTAAAAGTCTTTAATGAGGAGCTGAAATTCAAGTTTATTTCGTTTTCCGTCATGTCGTTATCCTTGGAAATATTAAGACTTTCGTACGAAAACCGTAATTACTTTGAAAACCATGTTGAAATTCTATAATTTCCGGGAAACTCTTGATATTATGAAATAACAGATTGAAACCGTGGTTTTAATCCT